GACTCCATTTCATTGTACAGCTGCTTATCTGCCAGTTCATGATTTTGATTTACCCAGGCTAGTTACATAATACATATCACCATTAGGTGAAACAGAAGTTGTCCACAAGGGTTGCCATTGTTTGAGAAGTGAGTGAGAGTTCCTTTCGCACATATGCCAGTGTGTCTTCATGGACACAGAAGTGCCTGTGCTGGGGGTCCTTCCTGGCGTCTCCCTATGTACCTCTTCATTTGGCTATTGATTTGTATCTTTTATAATAAACTGGCAAGTAAAGTGCCTTCCTGTAAAAAAAAATTTGGGGTGAGATCAGCATTTTAAAAATTCCCCAGAATTTTTATTCCAATGTGCAACCAAGGTTGGGAATTGACTTTTATTTATTTATATCCAAAACCCTATGCTAAATTCTATGCAGTACTGTATATGGAGTATATACAGTGCCTGTATATGGAGGCACTCGCTTTTTTAAATTTTTAAATTTTTACTTTTATTTTTTACTTTTTTCAATTACAGTTTACTTTCAACATTATTTTGTATTGGCTTCAGGTGTACAGAATAGTGGTTAGACAATCATATACTTTACGAAGTGTTCCCCCTAATATTTTCAGTACCCACCTGGCACAGCATTTCGCTTTTTAATAGCATGCTATTCTTACATCAAGTAATTTTCTTGTGCATTTCTGTCTGTTCAAGCAATTAAAGATAAACAGGTTGGTCATTTTAACTTATAACTATTTGTACCTTATTTATTGCCCACTCTAACAGAACTAGTGGAGTTAAGATGCAAATGGAAACTGCAAGTTCAAAGCTATCAGAAATTAATGATTTACCCTCCCTGTTGTTGCAGAAAGATGACTATTTGATAACACTTGTACTTATTTTGAAAGCAAAAGAGATGCCTGCTATAAATAATGCTCCAGTCTCCACTCCCTTAATCTACAAGTTTAAAATTGTAGCTACCTTTTAAAAATAATGTCAATACAAAATAATGTTTTATTGTGAAATAACTTCAAATTTATAGAAAAGTTGTAAAAATAGTACAAATAATCCCACATATCCCCTTCACCCAAATTCAATTGTTAACATTTTACCACATTTGCTTTATCATCCTCTCAATAGGTAGGTAGATAGATGTAGATAAATGCAGGTAAATATAGATAGTTTTGATCCTTATGAGAGTAAGTTTATCATACATCTCTACCCCCTAAAAACTTCAGAGTGTATTTCACAAGAATAAAAACATTCTCTTACATGACCACAGTTCAATCACAAGAATCAGGAAATTTAATGTTGATATAATACTATTATTCAATCTACAGCTCATAGTCAAATTTTTCCACTGTCCCAATAGTGTCCTTTCTAGCACTTTTTCCAGTCCAGGACCCAAACCAAGAGTACTACACAAGGCATTTAGTTGCTATGTCTCTCCAGTCTCCTTTCATCTGAAACAGTTCCTCAGCCTTCTTTGCCTTTCTTGATATGACAGCTGTGAAGAGTACAGGCCAGTTATGTTATGGGAGGTCCCTCAATCTGGGTTTGTCTGGTGTTTTCTTTTTTTAAGTATGTTTTTATTGATTTTTAGAGGTAGAGGAAGGGAGAGGGATAGAAAGATAGAACCATCGATGAGAGAAACATCAATCAGCTACCTCCCACATGCCCCCTACTGTGTCGAGCCCACAACCAGGGCATGTGCCCTGATGGGTAATTGAACCAATGAGTTCTTGGTTCATGGGTCCATGCTCAACCACTACGCAACATTGGCCAGGCTGGTTTTGTCTGATGTTTTCTAATGATTAGATTGAGTTTGGCATTTTTGGATGGGAATACCACATGAAATCTTGTGTGCTTCTCGCGGTAAGCACATTAGGAGGATCATGAAGTCAGCTTCTCCCATTCCTGGTGAGGTTAACTTTGAAAAGTGGTTAAGGTGGGGTCTGCTGTCTACCAGGTTTCTCCACTGTAAAGTGACTAATTACCCCTTTGTAATATCCTTGGGGGCTTGCAGGACCAGGACTAAAATGTGGTGAGCAAGGTGGGGCAGGCAAGTATTAGTCCAGCCCCTGATAAGGAGATACTAGTCTTCCTTTTTGAAAACACCTTGTCACATAAGCAATTCATCTGCCATCTTTTTTTTAATATATATTTTTCTTGATAACAGAGAGGAAGGGAGAGAGAGATAGAAACATCAATGATGAGAGAGAATCATTGATTGGCTGCCTCCTGCAAGCCTCACACAGGGATTGAGCCCTCAACCTGGGGTTGTGCCCTGACCGACTGGGAATCGAACCATGATCATAGGTCTAAGCTCAACCACTGAACCACACTGGCCAGGCCATCTGCCATCTTTATCAGGTTCAGGAGGCAATCTTGCAAACTTAAAATTATATTATCAAATTTGAAAAACAAAATTGAAATCAAAGTTGATCTAAATGAGAAGAGGAAGCAGGAAGCACAATCCGGGTGGATGAGGATTAAAAAAACAAAGCAAATGGGAAAGGGTGTGTTGGGCAAACTGTCACTGGTGCTGGGAGCAGAAGGTTCAGGTCAGAATTACTGTGCAGGCCTCCTAATTGGACCCCCTAAGGCCATTTCTGTCCTCCATCATGTCACTCCTCTTGTTCTCCAAGTGAAAGACTAATCGCTCACCAGACCCTGCAGGAACCACCCTCACCCACATGTCTGCCTTCTTCTCCCACCACTCGCCATAGATCACTGAGCTGCTCTGCTAGAACAAAGCAAGCTCAATTCACTTGGCTGGGGGACTTTGGGCCAATTCCCTGGTCTGGGACATTATGTCCCAGATAGCCCTGTGGCTCCTTCCCTCCCCTCCTTCAGATTTGTGCTCAGTGTCCTTGGTAAGGTCTTCTCTGACCACCCAAAAAATTCCTCCCAGCACACTCCCACTCCCTAGCTTCCTTTCTCTGCTTTTCTTTCCTCCAGAGCACTTATCACCATTAAAAAAGTGTTTCTTTGTTTCATCTACTCCACCTCACCACCAGGAAAAGGATTTTTGTCAGTTTTGCTCACTTCTGGACCCCCAGTGCCTAGAATATGCCTGGTACATAGTGCTCAGTAAGTGTGTGCGTGTGTGTGTGTACGTAAGGTTTAGAGGTGGGTTGGAACTCGATGCTACTGACTCTATGACTCTACCAGGATGGATTTATCATGAAGTTAATGAAGCTTAAGGAAAGGTCCTAGCAACGTGTTTGCATAGCCACATGTTTAAATTTGCAAAAGTAAAATGCTTAAGCTGCAATCAGTGAAAAACACCATCTCTTTCCATTCCAGTGTCCCCTCCCTCACACTTCCTGTAGTAGCTTAGTTCTGCATCAACTTAGCTAAACTGGACTATGTTTCTATGGTTTTTTTTCCCCTGTATGGTTCCAGGTTAGCACTGACCACTAAAGACATGTTGTGGGAGGCAGATGCGAACCAGCAGTCCTATTTTTGAAGTTCTGAAGGTTAGTCCAGGGTGCCAGGCACCATGGCAACTCGCACGCAGTAGTGTCACTGATCCGATCCCCCACTTGGATGGCACTGGGCTGCCACCGGATCTCCCACGTTCAGCTCTCCTCCCCAACTGCTGACTGTAACAACTTCCGCTCAACAACAGACACAGTGGCAGCAGCCCACAGACTCGTCCACCAGCTCCCACAGCTGCCAAAGATCTAACCCTGACTGACATACTTCCCCTGTGCTCAGTGGCACTGGAGTGGCCACAGGCATTTGGGGGGCCCAGCTAAGGGGAAGTTGAGTTGGAGATTCATTTCGCTGGGTTTCAGATATCCTTACATGGTTTGCAATCACTTCCACAAATGGTTAGGTCACTGCCAGCCATCCCAAGTAGGAAGGGCTCCCAAGAATGTGCCTATGGCCCACTGCCAGAAGGCATATGGCAATATGATCATGTCTTGGGGCACCTGGCACCACAAGTGTGTGGGTAGTGGACAAGAAACAAGGTTTAAAATGTACAGAGCCGAAGCAAGTCTATGGAAAGATCTTTCAAATGTATTATGTGATTTTTTTTCAAGTTTTGTGATGTTTCTGGTATTTGTCAGCTTTTTAACATTTGTAATTTGTTATGCTTTCTTTTCTCATTCCAAATAATTATTCCTTTTGGTACCCAATGTTGTATTATTAAGCAAGTATGACTGTTCTTAAAGAGGACCTCCAAACTGCATAAGGATTGGAACCCATGAGATTTGGATCATCCCCTGCCCTTAAATATCAAGCCAGAGAAGTTGGCTTTTATCCTGGAGGCAATCAGAAACCATCCCAGGACTGTGGCAGACCTGTATACTGGAGCAGGGTTACATTGGCTTGAGAGAGCTGTCAAATTTTCAGGAATTTTACAAAGTGGCTGACGTCATATTGGTAGCTTAAAATCAGCCACTGTGGGAGTATTTATACCACAGAAATTGACAACCGCTACAAATCAGGCCTTCCTCCACCCCCATTCCCAGAGAGCCAGTTGTAAAGCATAAACCAATACACCACTGGTACCAAGCGATTTCCTTGGTCATAAATCTTCATGAGAAAATATGCCCATAATTAATTCACTCTCAAGTGTAGCTGATAGAGACAGGGGTTAGGGAGGGGAGAAACGATAGAGGGTATCATGGAGGAAATGATGCTTAAGAGCTCTGAGTACTTGAAGAAGATAAAAAATTTTTAAAAGGATGGGAAACTCTCAAGACAAACAAAACTTCATCCACCCTCCAACTTTGCCTAAGATTAATCTGGCTGATTTCAGTACGATGTAGCAGACTTCTGAGTTTGTGTGTTGCATGCCATGACTTGGCCACTTAAGAAAGAACCGATTATGACATATGCAATTTAATATTCTAAACTGGATCTAGAATCACAATAAAAGGTCATTGTCTTTGCCTCTGGGGGATTTCAAAGTGTATATTAATATAAATATTTTCACTAATATTCTAAAATTACACAGACCACCAGCACGTTACCCCTCGCGTTCCATGTGAAAGAAACATAGCGCTGAGCGATTGAGGCCGCAAGCGAGATGCCAGTGGCCGTGGGTCCCTATGGACAGTCTCAACCAAGCTGCTTCAACAGCGTGAAGATGGGTTTTGTGATGGGTTGCGCCATGGGCATGATGGCTGGGGTGCTCTTTGGCACATTTTCCTGCTTCAGGATTGGAATGTGGGTTCAGGAGCTGATTGGCGGCATTGGGAAAGCCATGATGCAAAGTGGCAGCACCTTTAGCATATTCATGGCTATCAAGATGGGCATCCGATGCTAATCAGGGCAATTGTTGCCCACATCTACCCCATCCCATCAGTCCCAATCCATGTACTATAATAAAAAGACTTTGAGTAAAAATAATCTATAATAAAAGCATAATATGCTAATTAGACCAGACAGCTGAACCACCTTCCAGGCGTCATTCCGGACGTTCTTCCAGATGAAGCCCCTGCAGCAGGGGCCGAGGCAGAGGCAGTTAGGGGCAATCAGGCAGGCAGGTAGAGTGGTTAGGGGCGATCAGGCAGGCAGGTGAGGAGTTAAGGGTGATCAGGCAGGCAAGCAGAGGGGTTAGGGCAGGGGTGGGCAAACTTTTTGACTCGAGGGCCACAATGGGTTCTTAAACTGGACCGGAGGGCTGGAACAAAAGCATGGATGGAGTGTTTGTGTGAACTAATATAAATTCAAAGTAAACATCATTACATAAAAGGGTACGGTCTTTTTTTTTTTTAGTTTTATTCATTTCAAACGGGCCGGATCCGGCCCGCGGGCCGTAGTTTGCCCACGGCTGGGTTAGGGCGATCAGGCAGGCAGATGAGGAGTTAGGGATGATCAGGCAAGCAGGCGAGCAGTCAGGAACCAGCGGTCCCAGATTGTGTGAGGGTGCAGGCCAGGCTGAGGGACACCCCCCCCCCCCGCGCCATGAATGAATTTCATGCACTGGGCCTTTAGTAATAATAATAAATTTTAAAAAATAAAAGTACACAGACCATATTTCATTTAGTCTAAGAAAAAATGCTGCCAAAGGACTTGAATGTAAGACAGGAAACCATAAAAACCCTACAAGACTCCATAGGCAGCAAAATTGCAGACATATGTCATAGCAATATCTTTACAGGCACAGATCATAGGGCAAGAGAGACTAAGGAGAAAATAAACAAATGGGACTA